CCGATATTTCATAAAAAGTAACTCTGTCCACTGGTCTCTCAAATTGCTATCTTTACTAAAGCTGTGCAATGATATATCGACTTTCTGTCTTGTAGGTTGCGAGCTCAGCGGTGGAATGACCACTCGGTGTTGTGTTGTTAATGAAGCTTTATAAAAAAAATTTTAAAAATGGTCAGTGGGTCCAGGTGGAGGCATGGCTGATGGGGATGACTGTATCGGCTAAAGAAATTAATTAAAATTACAGAAGTCCTGCAAGGTCATTTTAAGGAAAAGTTTCTGAATACGAGCTAAAAACCTTTCTCCATGGATTAAGTGTTTTTACTCATTCACAGTGTTAATATAGAACCTACACCTGCTTTACAGTCAAAAAGACATGGAAATCTCACTTTCTAAAATATAGGACCTTGAAAAAACATGGACACACTGCACACCAGCAGAAAGAGCCACTAGGTACACATAAGATTAGGTTTTGCAAAGTAATACTGTAATAATACAGGAAAAAAAAAAAAACTAATTCAGTGGCTGAGATTGGGGGCCCCAATTCTGTATAACAAGCGTATCTCCTTTTTTCAGTTTTTTTTTTTTGACATTCAATTCTCTATAGGACGCCTTCAGAGCTCACACAATGCAAATCACTCATGGTCCCTATTCATGCACTGATTAATATGCAAAGACAGCCCATCCTCATCTAACAGTCAGCAGAGAAGAAATATAACAGCCAGCCGAGTGGTTTTGAACTTATCTGTTTGGAACTATCAGCACTTCATACATTCAGTGTGAAGAAGCGCTGTGAGATGACATGAATTTATGGATAATGTATCACAATCCCCTGCCTTACAGTACGATCTCTTTGATCTCTTAGTAAAAACATGTTTCATTCTCATTTCTAATAATTTTTTTGACGTTTTATCCACAGACCTGTAATAACATTGCGACTAGTCCATGTAACTCTCAGTAAGTTTGTCTGTTCATTTCAAGTAGAAAGCTGTAATACATTTTAGTTATATGAACATTTCCAAATTCAAGAAGCTAGCAAAGACAAAGTCGCCAAGACTAATGCCTCACAGCTTACATCTATTTGTCCATTGAAAAAAAAAAATTACTAAATGTTTATGTGTCAATTGTGGTTCATAGAAAGAAAATTGGAGCCGGCCCAAATCAGAAATCGACAAAACTACAGAAATAATGCCAATATTTACAATGTTAAATTCAATACACATAAACGACAGTGAGAAGAATAGGAAGCAAGAGTAATGGAAAAAGAGAGGCACAGTCATGAAAGACGTTTATGTAAACTTCAGCAGCGGCATAGAACTCACATCTGGCAAATCAGCTAAACTCGCAATTATGACTCAATGAAAAGTCATTTATTTTCTAATTCAGTCTTAAAACTTTTATAATAACTGTACAGTAGCAGTAGTGTGCTGTATATAGCTGGATCCAAAAAGGGGTACAGCTGCAATCTGAGCAACTCCTGTACTGATGAGAATTTGATTAACATAAGCTGCAATAAATTGGTACAAAAGGCATACATGTCACTTTGAATGCAGCATGGATCCAGTTACAAATACAGAGCAAAGTTCTAAAAGATCCAGAATCCAGTTTTATTCAGAGAGCAGACTAAAAACGCCTTATAATTTTCCCTTGTTTGGCTGCTTTTTCCAGTTCCCCCAAGTCAAAAATAGCCTGTATTATTTTCATAGTGGCTTTGAACTCACCACAGCAGTTAAACTCCCATATGTTAGCCATTTAGGAATTGTGTATTTTCTCTCCCTCTAAATGTTAAGTTGAACTTTTTCTTCTCTTTGTGGAGTTCTGCTCTGCTCGATGCACAAAAACATTGTTTTACATCCAGAGGGTCATTAAATGGACTTCACAGTGTATGCATTTGCAGTGTTCATCCCTTGTCTGAAGATTCAAAAGCAGATGGATATGATTTGCTCTTAAACTCATTGTCTTGGGTTATGTAGACATGGAATGGCAGGTGCAGCAGTAACCAGGCATTCAAAATGGGGCTTGTTGTTCCAGGTACCAATGAAATGAAGAAATACAATTGAGGAAGTCCAGTTTGACTAATAGATGCGTGAGTCTGAAAGTCTGTCACAGGCAAAAACACTACCACTAACATACAAAACACTAAACATACCATGCGGAAGTGTTTCACAACTCTGTCGAGATGGAGGATGAGATTATTGTCATCAAACTTTCCAATTGCAAAGGAACAGCAGAATTACCTTTCAAAAAAAAGGTACATGACAAAATTATCTGTTAGGCATGTCCGCATGCACTTATTTCACTGTCCAAAACAGTGCGTTGCCAGATGACATTGCATTGCAGAGCGGCAAAAGATAGCTCAGGTTCAAGTGTTTTGGCAGACAACCCTGTGGTGTTTTTTTTCTATAGCTGACAGCACAGGACATGAAACGGAAAAAGCTGGAACAACCTCTCGATGCCTACAGCAACAGCAGATCACTAACTCTGGGCCAAGAATCTAAATCAACGCTCTTTGAGGCTGCAGATTGATGACCATGGATATGGGTAGATCATTCCAATAGCACAAGGTCAGAAGTGAGGATACACACTAGACTCCATCCATCTGGCCGCAGACAGACCAAGACACAAAAGGCAGCTGTCTGTGTCCACTCCTAACATCATATTCCATTCAATCCGGCCATTATCTAGTCATTTCTTGGAAGGTGGGGTGGCTCCACATCCTAATGTTTGTTACTAGCCTCGAAATTTAATTATCACTGAACTGGAACAGGAACTGGAAATCAATAAATGTAATTAAATTGCTCAGCCTTCAAACTGTGTGATACTGTCATTACCCTTTTAATATACCCCAGGCCTATCATAATGTGATCAATTTCTTTGGATTTCTTTCTCTGCTGCAACAAGGCAGAGCTAAGGCGCAATTGTTTAATTATCTACCTCCTGATTCTGTTCACTTTTCACTCACATGAGGTACAGCCAATTGCAGGGGAGTCAGAGTATTTCAGTTGGATTATGAATCATATAGAACAAAAATGAACACATACCGAATGATACTGGTACCATACCGCCCTCTACACCACTAACAGTGACAGTCTGAGCCACCACGAGTCCCAACACGTTTATTTCTCAACTGTCAAGCTCCGTGAATTTATTAGTCACTATTTCCTAAACAAACAACAACAAAATCTAAGTTATATCAGTGATATAATGTTTATGTTATGCAGTTATGCTAAATAACATATTGGCTGATACATAATATTCATAGATTCAAATATCAACATAATGTATTCTGCTTTCAAATTCCAAGTATGTGTCAGTAAGATTTTAGCTAAACATTTAAGGGAGGCAGGACTGCTTTGGGACAGCGATGTCATTGGCTGAATTAAACCTCAATGGGAGGCGACAAAAATGCTCTGACTTAAAGACAGAAACAGCAAAACAGCAGACCTGTAGAATATGGAGGAAGAATAGTGAAATTGACACCTGAGGTTAGAATAACCATCCTCGTGCACTACTAATGTCTACTAATTTCAGTTATTATTAAATCAAACTAGTCTTCCTCTCTCCAAGGACCCCTGGGGGTCCATAAACTCCACTTGGAGCACACAGTTGCAGTCTATAGAAAGAGGGGGCAGATGCAGAGAGGAGGAGGATATGGGAAGCGGGAGAAGTGGGGGTTTAAGGGGGGGGGGGCTCCCGCCCTATATAACCATTGAGGCTCTGGGATTGGATCCTATTGTATACATTGAATGACTATTCAGTGGTCCTCAATGGATGACGAATTTCACCCTAACCAACCAAATTGAAAACTACATCAAATCAGTCGGGGCCTACATGTCAACATTATTTTGCGCCTAAAACGCACTGCACTGCGATATTAAGTTAGAAACTACAGTGTCCTATTCGGCGAGAGAGAAAAACAACAGAAACAGAGGCAATGGCACATCAAAAATGTCGCGGGCTGTTAACCTACATGACCACGCTGATGATAAACTCTAAAAATCGCACATTGACACATCCGCGCAGAATATCGTTGTCGTGCCAAATCCGATGATGGCCAGAGTCGGAATGGTGGCTGCATCTAATCCATCCAACCAGAAGAGTTTAAGCGCTTATGAAAACAAAAATCGTTTTATTTTGATAAAAAATAAAATAAAATTTAAAAAAATGTGCGTAAACCCATTTTTAGTGGACTGAAACAAAGCACCCCCTCGAAGAGCGACAAACACACCGGTCGCTCCATCCTCGGTGCGTCACAGCTGACCCAGCAGAAGTGAGAGAGCTACGGTGGACTTTTTTGAAGAGAATACATGCCTTTACTTTAGCTTATTTGATATGTGAAACTACAAACGACGACTTACTAGCGCACATACATCGTATAAGCAATATGTGCTGGCATGAGGGGGAATCACAAAGCGTCCCTCTGCATCACTAGTTCCAATCTGCACCAGCATCCATCTCCACTAACCTTTATGAACTCAGGATCTTAGCTCGCATTAAACCGCATACATGTGGGCTATTTTCACAAAAAAAAAAGAAAAAAGAAAAAACCGACCCAAAAATACAGTCTGCCTCAACTCAGAGCGGACAGTGTGCCAACCGGACCGGAGAGAGACGGTGGCATACTGCTCTTGTATTGCGCGGAGATACTCAAAAATGCACCGAGTCGAGCGGCTCCTGATAAGAAACTACAGGAGCAGAACACACAGAAACTGAATAAGAGGCGACTCGGTTGGTGTTTCGCGGTTGATTCGGCGCACAAACAGGCAAAACTCTCACTTTAGTAAGAAAGAAACTTTTGATATGATCGCGCTGAATTTTGCAGAGCACCAGCTCTAACCAAACGCCACTGTCCGGAGTCAGGGACAAGGATGCCGCCGCTGGGACCAGAGGATGCTGCTCCACAAGCAACACAGCTCGGCCTGTATTCTAACACAGTTGCCACAGACTGAGAAGTAATCTCCACATAACCTAATATGAAAAAAATAAATAACTCAGCTTCTTACCTGCACAGCCAATGAATAGAAATCCCCAGATGATGTCCCTTATGTGAAGCATTGTAATGTGTCACAGATATTCTCCTTGTAGAGTAGACGCACTTTAAACAAGCGAGGTGTCTCTCTCCTGAGGGGGGGAAAAACAGATATCAGCCTTTCCAGGGACAACAACTGCTACCGGACGGAATTTTGGTCCTTGTCGCTACCCGTGTTCGCGGCACAATGAGTGACAAGCAGCAGCCGTAGCACGCACTCTCACACACACACACACACACGAATGCACTCAATAGATACCAACACGAATTACTCCGCCCGGTAGGCTATACCCATATACCCACACACAGAGACACACAGAGACACACGGAGGGGGCGGGCTGAGGTGAATGCAGTAACAAAGTAGTGCGCGGAGCCGCCAGAGCAGACAGCAGATGGTCACCAGGGACTCTAATTCGGATTACTGGGCTTACAAACTAGCTAACGGTGGCTTAAAAACACGTAGAGCAAAACACGTATTATAAACTAAGAACTAATTAAAAATACAGTGCATTCAGCATTAAAAAGCTCTGTCGAATAATTTCAAGAATAATCAGCATCTTTCTATTATATAATACTGATCTACCTATAGGCATGCCGACCAATATACTATATATATCACTACCGTTATATATGCACTTCCTTTACTTGAATGGGAATATGATATATGTATTTAAGATATAAAACACACATCTATCTACATATCTATATCGATACACACACATGAATGTTATATCAAAATTAAAGGCTTTTCAGCTGCAGATAATAATAATAATCTATTTATAGAGCACTTTTCAAAAGCTACATTACAAAATTCTTGACAAAGACAGCAAAAAGTAGAATCAAATAAATCAGTAGATTTCAAAGAAAAGAAATGCAGATAAAACAATCAGGAGTATAAAAACCAATAGAGTGATTTTAAGAGAAATAAAACAATTCAAAAGGGAAAGTAAAACCAGGAAAAGCTCACCGATTAAAGAAGCCTATGTTTTAAGAAGAGTTCTCAACTATGTTCACAAACTTGTCACTAACTTTGTCTGGCTGCTGTTTGGTGCCGGACAGGTGGCATATAAGCAGTTTATTGTAGTTTTTTTGTTGTTGCTGAAAACAGATGCTGCTAGAAAATGAGGTTGAGGCTCAAGCCCAAATTCGACATGAAATTTGTCAAAAACCTATCACAGCTGTTAAAACCAAATTACCAGAAGACTCTTTGTGTGCTCATGTAAGTGCAAATTGTTCCTCTCATCTGCTATGTCCTCCAATCATACCAACTTGCCAGCAACCTGCTTTCTGAAAGAACACTTGAAAAAAATCTTTACAATGTATTTGCAGTCTGGAAAACAACAAAAAAAAAAAAAAAAAAGTGCCACTATCTTAACATGTCAGTGTCACCACAAACCTAGCTACTAATTAAAGTAAGTCACGCAGTGTTTCCCATTAATTACCTAGACTGTTTCCTATTAATTACTTAGACTGCCATAGTCTAATTTGTCCCGCCACAGTTTCATAATGAACCAAAAATATTTTTACTCAACATGATGGTAAAGTTACCAGTGGAAGCAGTCAACCTGAGAAGAGCACTGTCAGCGTTAGCCGCTAACAGTACTTCAAAACTACACCGGCCCCACACCCTTCTCTGTATGTGAAGGAGCCACTCGGTTTGAGTAATTCAGACTGATCAAGCCTGACATCAGCCTCTGCTGAAAGCTGGAACTTCTTACAGTGCAGTCTTTTGGAAAAAAAAAAAAAGGTACAGCTTCACAGCCAGTATGGGGAGGTGGAATAATTAAAATCGACCCAACTCTACATGCTGCATGTGAGAGTTGTTCATGGATAGACTTAAAAAAAAAAAAAGAGAAATCAAAACCTACCTTTGAAGCATTAAGTGGGTGGCACTGTGGACTAAATACAATCAACTTCACCTACAAGCAGAAGTGTAGAAGTAGAACTCAAAAAAGAAACAGATATTTGCATTTGCCAACCTGGGTCGCTGCTCTGCTGTCTGCTGTCTGCCATCTGGTTCAGAGAGAAAACTCAGAGTAGCTAGGTTGTTGCCGCGGGAATGGCAGTCAGTTTTAATCTTTTAGCAACCAGGAGCGCCATTTCCATTATTTCCATTTTGTGTGTAATCTCTAACCTACTAGTTTCACCTATTTAAAATGAAACCTAGAGCAACATTTGAATTATATTATTTGAAGTATATAGGGGGAAAAAAAAAAAATAAAATGTTTTTCAGTAGAAGTCATTCCTCACCTCTCCACCAGCGCACTCCCCTGCACACCTGTGGCTCCTTCCCTCGTTAGCCGGCCCTGCTGCCTGCCTCACCAGCTGCACCTCATTAACTCATTATCAGACCTGCCAGGTATGAAGCCATTGTTTAGAGATAAAACCTGTTTTCTGTGAAAAGTCATATGCTCTCATAAAAACCACTGCACTATCATCAGAAGCTAGTAATATGATTCATTTTTAATAATGGAGGTGCAGGTAGATTGTTATTATATCGAGTTTGTTACAACAGGGTTAAAATGTTCATTTGTATTTAATGCATAGACTTATAACTGGTATTTATGGGCATCAAAGGTGGAAGCAGCCCCTGAATGATGAAGAATGCTAAACTTAGCTCCTTGGAAATTACTGAAATAGCATGCTAAGTCAGGCAGAAATCAGAAAGTGAAAACCTGAAGTCAAGTTTCTGTTTTGTTATTTGAAAAGGGAAATGAGAAAAACATGCGACACAGACCATCAAGGGCAGTGTTTCTTTTGGTGCTCAGCTCAACCTGCTGTTTTTAAAAAGCTAGCTAATTCAATGTAGCATGTAGCCATGGGTTGAAGTATAACAGTGGTTTAACTGGCTAAAAGGTGTTCAGTTAGAGGTTGTTATTCATTGGCTAAGCACCGGTATAAAGTGATACTCCATCTAAAACTCCAACCTGTAGTATCAAACACTCACCCATAAAGCGGAGAAGTGACTGTAAAATCATGTGTAGGTTGCTCCTTTTAGTTGGAGCTAGCTTGGCTCCATCTCAGCTACAATGGAAAAAAACAACCTCAAAACCTCCATAGAAAATTCTCAAACCCCTGCTGCAGTATAATCCACTTCTCTGTTCATCCATATGAATCTAAACACTCACTAAATACACTGGTTAGCATCAGAGCACTCAACATTCATTCCATTGTGGCCACCTAAATCCAATATTCACTTCCCTTTGGCCCCCGTTTTAGTTCATACCAACTCTTGAGAACAGTAGCTACCTTTTTGGTTAATGGCCCACTGTGTCCACAGCTAGTTGCTAACTTTTTCTATGATTTTTGGTGCTTGATCAGGCAGTGGATTCACTACAGCTTTTGTTTTGCTGAGAACAGCTGGCTGCTGCTGCTGCGCGAAACAAGAGAGTTGTAGGTTAATGAAAGTTTGCGTTTGTTCCTCATAAAAAAGTCAAATTGTTAAAAAGAAATATTAAAAATTTGAAAAATCCACTTCACTAAAAAATCCATTCCAAGTCGATGTAGACTACACTGGAGACTGAACATCACACGTCTAAGTTGCATATTTAAACGAACACATTTTCCCTCTTCAGCAGATGAATTTGAAAAACAGCTTTCTGAAACTGAACCTACATCATCCGACACGGTGAAGGTCAAACATCACAGGGAAGAAGCATGAAGTACATTTTTGAGTGGAGGACTTTAACAGTGTTAAACAGTTATTATTACACTTTAAACACGCAAAAATAATACAAAATTTTAAACACATAAAAACACATGTAGATGTTTGTTATTTTATTAGGGTCATATGTGTGAAACAAGAATTTCTAGCATTGCCTCAGTTTTAAATGGAATTCTTGTATAAGATGGCTTTATCCAATAAAAGTTGCTGATTCCATTCACTGTGAGGTATAAACCTGAGCTGGAGCCTGGAGGAAATCCGCCTCATCATGTGGGCACAGAGAAAGTCTCAAATCCACAGCCTAATTAGTGCACTTCCTCTGGAAATAGGACATCCTCTGCAGTGTGATACCAAAGTCTCCTTGAACTAAAAAAGTGCACAGTTTATCTCTACTTTAAAAAATCCCCCCAAAGAAGGCTAAAAACATCTGCGGATTATTTCACATCATTATTTGCATTAAGTCAGTTAATATCAAAGATGACGAAGCAATCATTAAAAAAAAAATTCAACGATGCAGTTTTAAATATAATGGGACACCTGAGCCATACCTGAGCCAGTCCAAAGAGTCAAAAGATTATGGAGCAGAAACCAAACCCACTGCCCATTATATGTCTTTCTCATAAGTCTTCATACTGTGTCTTTTAGTTGGCAGAAAATGCTTGTGGCTCTGAAATGCAGCAAAGCAACCAAATATAATACTCAAACACAGGTTTGTGGTGAAGTTTGTAGTTTTAAGTAGTCTAGGAGAGTGGAAGGGTCTGGTCAAGACTGTGGTGATGTGATGTTGTGCTGGCAACAATAAGAAGAGGCCAAAGAGCCGACCATTGACGTATTTCACGAAAGAGAAAGTTCCGGTGAGAAGGGGAAGAAAAAAAAAAGAAAAAAAAAAAAATCCAGGTCACCACTAGAAAGAAATACTTTGATTTTGGCAAAGGTTTGGACTGTTTTGGCAGTTTCCATGGTGGGGGTCACAATAACAAAAAAAAAAACAAAAAAAACACCAGGATTTCTGGCAGCATGGTTTAATTACCTAGAAAGGTGCCAAGAATATTCCCTTGGAGTTGAACAATAAAATTTTAGAACTGAACTGAATGTTGGATTTTGTCATCCAACAAATAAAACTCAAATTAAAATGCAAATTGGTATGGCCAAGGTATGGCCACTTTAAGCAAAACACAAGATCCATATTCCTAGATGAATCAGAATTTAGGCTGTATTCTGCGTTTTTATATTTTGTGTTTATAATTACAAAAATACTTCTTTCAACAACAGTTAGCCTAATGGCTGTCAAACACACTTCTAAGGTGATGGCTAGATGTAGTTTTTTTCTTGATGCGAAGAATCACCGCCCAACTGTTTTTAAAAACTCAGTGTCTGAACCAGGAAATAAAGATAATACAATTTAATTAAAGACATAACACTGGAAGCAATTAAAAAGTAACAGATGACATTTTAAGAGCTTATCGTTCCAACACAATTAACACCCATTTCAG